TTTTTTCATTTTGGAGAAATGTTTAGCTTTTGGTTTTTTTTTTCTCATTACAAGGCATGCTCATATGCTTTGGTTTGTACGCACATATATGTTCGTGTGCAAAGTATTTCTTCCGTTTTAATTTAACTACCTTTCAAAGTAATTATATCACGCATAGTTAAATCATGAAACTTTACAATCTTTACATGCACTCCCAAAATTGATCACTTTGTGAGTGGTGGATCGATATGATAGAGTAGACTAGCAATGACTTAGCGTCAAAAATATGTTAACCACATATCCGTTCTGCATGCGATGCACATGCTAGCTGAAGAAATCAATCTTTAGCTATGAACTTTTATTTGTCCGTAAATTAGTCATAATATTGTTTTCGTCGTTACATATTACATGCATATTTGTGGAGTAAACATTATTATTACACTGATAAATTTTCTATTTTACAATGTTTTTCGTTGTTATATTGTTATTTTGATTTATGGTAGTACATATGCAGTATGAGTCTACCATTCCATGCATCAAATATATTTTACTTTTATCATTTGTATGCAGCAACCCTATCAAGTATCTACAGTAAAGACATTTTTTTTTTTATCTGTCATATACATATAGTATATGTAATATCTATTTACCTACCTTGTAGTGGCGTACGTCGTCTAGTGTAATTATCCTAATACGTATGACTAACTTTAATTATTTATGTACGTATACAGTATATGCTATTGCGAGTATTGTTAGGTTTAGGTTTAGCTCTTTATGTTAAGTTGTACTTATTGATGACTACATATATAATCATTAATTGATTAGTGCTGAGAAGAGTAGTCCATTAGTCACCACCAGCATTTTAAGGGATTCTTTTGGGTCAACGTTTTAAGGGATTATGTCTCTAAATTGCTTTGGTTACCTATATGCATATATATAGCTATGTACAGAGGTCAAATGTAAAAAATACAAAAATGTTGATATGGTATGTTAAAGGCATTCACTGGTTTTGGGGTCAATTCCATCCTTTTCGTGATATAGAATACTATTCGACTTTTAATATGTTTTCTTTTCTCGCATGAGAAAGCGGTCGAGTCAATCAAATATACAATTCTTTAGAGTCTAGTCGACCAATCGTATCCTCATAGTTGCATATCATCATCACTTTACGGTTTTCTCAAACCTTCATATACATACTTAAAGACTTGGACACACATTTTCATTCAGATTTCTAATAAGATATCATGAAGATTTTTGGTAACCTTTACATCTATTGTTTTGTGGTATATGAACAAGCTTGGTTTCTAATTTACCAGTACAACCGGTCTCTTGCAATTTTCTAGTTTGATTAATAAGATAAGTTTTATAATATATAATCTGATATTAATTTGATCTCATCAACTTGAGATGTTTATTTGTTCATGTCTTTATCTAGTAAGAGAATATACACACAAAGTTGAGATTTTTTTTTAATGCGAATATTACATGGTGAAAGGGTTGGATAAGTAAGACCATATGATTTGAGTAAGAACACTTTAAGACAACAAAGTTTATTACACAACTAACAGAATTGATGGGTATGGACATAAATCACATGCTACTAACCAATAAAATGAGTGTGTCGGTTTTCACCTTTTCAATACACTCAAAAAAAAAATTAATATTAATTATATAATATTTGATAATTTTTTTACCAGCCATGATTAATTAGCTTTACTTCCCATTAAGTAGTTATTAGAAGCTTCATGGGCGAGGCAAGGATTAATATTCATGTGTCTAAAAAAAAGTTGACAAGATGGGGTCATAAAGAGGGTAACACAATTAAACTCTCTAAAAGATTATATATGAATGCAACATCTAAAGTTTAATAATATTATAGCTCATATATCCACTTCTGTTTTTCATCCACTTTTTATTTTATCTTCGCAGCTTACATCAAATCAATGTCGTCGTACTTATGAATATTAATTTGAAGTATGACTAGTAATTTACTTGTCTCTAACAGTACGGTGGAAAGGTCTCGTAGCAATTCTGTTAATAAGTTTAGTTTAGGATGTCCAATCACTTTTTTGGTATGAATTATGAAAGTTGTAGTAAACGATTTTCACTTGAATTGATTGGAAAACGAAAACAGAACAAGTCCAAGTCTTTCTTTCTCTTGTGAAGATGCTTAACGGAAATATTTATCACGAACAAGCCTTAGGATTCGAGCAAGTGGGGTATTTAGGAATCGGAAAAACGAATTGAAAACGCATGTCATGTAAGTTAATGAATATCCAACGATGAGAAGGTGAATTTGGGTCTTAGGTCATAAGAACTTTAAAGCCCATTATTGATTCGTGTCCCCCAATAATCACAATCGATGGGTCCATGCACGTAGCCAACACACCGGCGTCACCCACAACCACAACCACAGGTCATTTGATTACATTTTGCGTGATCCAGTTTTAGGCTATTTAGGGTTTTGTTGGATTCCATTTAACTTCCACTGAAAACGAAAGCGAAAAAGTTTCATGGTTACAATTAAACTTGATATCCACTGAAATCACTGTTTTCAAGGTTATGAATAAAATTCATGTGTATCCCACATGGTAAAAAATTGACATAATCTTACTATTCATTTTGGGTGAAACTTTATTCATTAAATACCAACAATTCTATAGATTAAATTAAATTTCATGAGCTTCAAATTATGCGATGAGCTATAATTAAGATCTTGGCTCAACAGAAAACAACATTTACTAAAGAGTTAGCACATATATGATACTATTCATATACGTTTTCTTATATAACTGACAGTGAGATCAAATAGATTTCTCCTATATATTGAGAAGTGTGACGATGCTTCATACGCAATATTGATATTATGGCTTTAAGAATGGATCGTTTTGATGGTTTAATGAAAAAATGGCTTGCTTTCTTGATAGGGTTAGTGCCATTTTTTATTGTTATTATGATGGTTAATACATGCAATACGATAAAGGATAATAAGTCAGAAAATGTAGCGTAGAAAAAATGGAATATAATACGAATTCAAGAGGGAAGGTAGGCTAACTTTTGTTGGAAACCAAAGAAGGTGGGGAACAAAATTAAGACCACAAAGTGAATAACTTATATGAGTTTATTAAGCTGAATATTAAAATCATATATGAGAAAAAGCTTTGAGCTTTTAAAGGATGGGGCAATAGAATATTGGGAGGAGCTCTTGGTGCGATCACTTGGAGGAAGGAGACGATGAAGATGAAGATGAAGATAATAAGATGGAACATGCTATTTTTCTTTCAAAAAGAGTGTTTTCTAAATTGGGTTCCCTTTATCGTTGAATCGTGGTGTGTGTTGCAGTCATACATTCCTTAGAAATAATGAATATACTACTACTATTAAGACGTTTGGTGGTTATTGTGGATTTATTTATGCGATATGAGTGGATAAAAAAAGATAAGGGGTGTCCCCATGAAGAGATTTGTGTCTGCATCTTCATGTAAGACCCAAATATTCCTCCTTTTTATTCACTAGACACCACACCACCCACCACTACTTCATCATCACCTTTTGAACATTTACATTGCAGGTAGTCTGTGTACACATATACATAATAATAAGGTTCTCAATGTGTGTCAAAAAATTAAGTCCATCCCACATGAGGAAAATGAATTTTGAATCAGATTGTTTGAACGTAACTGGGTTAAACCAGGCTTAGTATTTTATTGATGATAAGGTAAGGTATAATAAGTTTTTTTTTATCTTTACCATTCTACTGTTGTAACAAAAAAAAAAACATAGTAGTGCTATCAATGATGTCCAAAATGATTGAGAGTGAGATTTACTGTCAGGCCCAGACTAGACCAGACCAGTCCGGCCCTTTTAAGTGGCCCATTTACAATCTGTTAGAAGCCTAAAAACTCATGTGAAGTGGAAGAAGAAAAAAACAAACACAACAGTGAGCCATATATAAAGGGGAGATACTTGAAAATGGAATAATCAGCAAGTCTTGAGAAAAATGGAAGTTATTTTTTTTTTTGAATAAAATGTTAAATTATATTCAAAATAAAAATTTACCTTTTTACAACAAGTGCAACGTTATTTTAAAAATATACTTAAAAAAGATTACAATTTCCCATAGCAAATCTTAATCAACTGATTATGAACGTGCTTGAAACCATCTTTGGAACCCCTAGTCATATCTTCGATCACCTGATCTTCGAATTGTTTGGAGCTGATTTTTAACTTGCCTATCAACCCAACTTATGATTGTTGCAGTCGTATGAGAAGCATCTCCATGGAGACGTCCATTTCGTTCTCTCCATATTGTGTAGACAACAGTTTGAAACACATATCGTAAAAGAAAAACATCAATATGATCCATGTGAGGCAAAGAGATGAACGCTAAGAGCATTGACCAATTAGTCGAATAATGAGTATGGAAAGTACCTTTGCAGTCGCCTCCCACACCTCAGCAGCATAAGAGCATTCGAAGAACAAATGATCCCTGCTTTCCAAGTGAGAGAAACAGAGCATACAAGTACCCGCTGAATTGCCATTCCATGTAGCCATTTGAGCAGCCGTGGGAAGTCTATCTTGAGCTGCTAGCCACACACAGAAGCTATACTTTGGAGTTTCGTGAGCAAACCACACCCCCTTAGACCAACTGACTATTCTAATATGATTCCAAGTCTCCTTTGTTGAGAAAAATGGAAGTTAAAAGGAGGCCAAAGGACAAAAAGATACCACATGAGTCGTAGATTAAAACAGCTCTCTTTTTTTTTTGGTAAGATTAAAACAGCTCTCTCTTAGCTGTTCTTAAGAATTCTTTCTTACTTCAGTCTTATATAGATGATGTAAATTTATCTCCTCCTCTTATATTACATTCAAATGCACTATGACTGTGTAATAACGTCAATGTAGCAATAAAATCCAAACCTACCATATATATTAATATGCCAAAAATATTTTCTTTTTTAAAAAAGAAGTTATATGTCTAGTAGTTTTCTTATTGTCAAAACTCAAAACAAACCCACACAATAATAAAAGAGTACAGCCAAAATGGTTTAAAACTTATGGTTACAAGCCAAAATTAATAATTTATTCACACTGGAAAACCCATTTTGGCAGGCATTTCGAGAAGAAGAAGAAGAAGAGAGGAGATGAATATGATGAAGGAACGCAAAACGACGACGTATTGTGTGACTGGTGCAAGTGGGTACATCGGTTCTTGGTTGGTTAAGTCTCTTCTTGAAGGAGGCTACACTGTTCATGCCACTCTCAGAGATCTTGGTATCATCAACCCTCTTGTTTAATCAAATCCAAGTTTAAGAGCTGTCTTGTTTATATCGATTCCACATGTTTGTTTAAGGAGCCTGTTTTAAAAATACATATGCACTCGTCGATTTCTTTCGGACTAGAATTTGGACTGTTTTGTAAAATTTGCTTTCAAATTAGACTACTAATTAAACGCTTCTCCGTGACTTCTTCCGCTGACACAGCAAAATCTCAATATTTTCAATCCAAATGGAAGGAAAATGAACGGCTCAGATTGTTCCGAGCGGATCTTCAAGATGACGGCAGCTTCGATGATGCCGTCAAGGGATGCGACGGCGTCTTCCATGTCGCGGCTTCCATGGAGTTTGATATCTCATCAGATCACGTCGATCTCGGTACAACCGGTCCTTTATTTTCTTTTCAGTACATCACCTAAACCGCTCTAAACCGCTCTAAACCGGATCAATCCGTTAATATTGCAATTTAACCGAAACAAACCGAATTTTGCTGGAATGTATGTGGTATAGAGAATTATGTCCAGAACAAAGTCATAGATCCGGCAATAAAAGGCGTACGGAATGTACTAGGTTCTTGTCTAAAGTCGAGCTCAGTCAAAAGGGTCGTCTTCACATCATCCATCAGTACTCTCACTGCCAGAGATGAGAATGAACTGATGAGATCTGTCGTGGATGAAACTTGCAAGGCTCATGTTGATCATGTCCTTAAAACACAAGCAAGTGGATGGGTATAATACTATCATTTCAGTAAATGCCCTTGCATATTTTCGTTGTTCAGCGTCATTAACGTGTTAAGACTTCGTATTTGCTACAGATTTATGTACTATCGAAGCTTGTATCAGAGGAAGAAGCATTTAGATATGCAAAAGAGAGAGGAATGGATCTTGTTTCAGTCATTACAACTACTGTTTCAGGTCCATTCCTTACTCCTTCTGTCCCATCAAGCGTTCAAGTTCTCTTGTCCCCAATTACAGGTATGTCTGTATATATTTTTTCTAATTCCACTACATATATAAGTTGAAAGTGTTTGGCTAAACTAACCAGTTTGTTTTCTTTACATTATTATAACAAAACAGGTGACTCAAAGTTGTTTGCAATATTATCAGCTGTGAACAAAAGAATGGGTTCGATTGCTTTAGTACACATTGAAGATATCTGCAGGGCACATATGTTTTTGATGGAAGAACCAAAGGCTAATGGCCAATATATATGCTGTGTTGACAATATTGATATGCATGACTTGATGCTTCATCACTTTTCTAAGGAGTATCGTTGTAAAGTTCAAAAGTAAGTTCTACCATCTTTCAGTGCTTTTTATCACTTCTTTTTTTGTCTTAGACTAGAGATTTTAGAAAACTATTATTCTTTACTTATAGGGAAAATGAAGACGAGGAAGAGAGACAATGTGTGAAGCCTATAATATCTTCAAAGAAATTAAGAGAATTGGGGTTTGAATACAAATACGGTATTGAAGAAATTGTTCATCAAACAATTGATGCTGCCATCAGTTTTAAGTTTCCTATTTTAAAGGACAAACTCAAGGAGTGAGAATGTGAGATCAACAACAATTATCTTCTTCGTTTTGCTGGATTAGACTATTGTGAATCTTTGAATATACTAATGAAGTGTTTTCAATCCCAACAAATTTTTAATGGTCACTGTGTACACTTTATAGTCTTAATATCGTTTGAACTTTTAGAAGAATGATGGATTATACTAGTTCATTGTGTAAGTCCTAATCGTGTTTAGTAATTATGGTTTTGTTGTCTCAATGCATTTGCAAGTCGAATGGACCATTTTGATTTTCAACTAATTATGTTCTTGTTCGCTCATTGTTTCAACAAGGAACAGAACATGTTTGATGTAAGCCAAGTTTTCAACTCTAAATTTGATTGTTCAGCATACTATTCAGGAGTAGAGCATGTCAATATCATGCTGCACATCCATCAGTAAATAAATCAGTTTCATCGATACCTCAAAGTCTCAAACTTTGATCTCGGCTAAAAACTTAGTTGTTTATTACGAACTACACCTATTAACTGAAGAGAGGTTTTACTGTTTTAGCTTAAACCCATGATAATATTTTAATACCACCTAATACTCTGCACAATGGTTCTTACACGATTCAGGCAAAAAATGCAAAATGGGGATAATTATCGATTTATATCTCCTTCGAGACATCTTCTTATTTGTTTGTCTTAAATTTTGGCATTTACCAATATTCTCCACCCGTGAAACAAATGCTTATTTCGGACGTTCTTCAGCAGTCATCAACCTCCGTTCCTTTTACTTTGTACAACTACCCCATTCTATACTTCTCCCCTTGAGTATACAGTAGAGTAGCCAATAGCCAATAATACCAATTCAGCAGACCCGTACCAATTAGTATTACGTCTTTGATCTTTCTTCCACGTCAGTCTCAAAACAATCTGATAAAGCTTTACATTTTGAATTTGACCTTACTAGTATATGTAAACATCTAGACACTTTCACATCATGTGGTTTCAAGAAGGTTTCAAGAAGGGTTTCCCAAATTTATCTTTCATGTACGAAAATCTAAGATTGAAAAATCCAAGTAACAAGACAATCTGAAACTGATGCAAGCCAAAGTTATGTTAACTCTACAAGAAAAGAAGCACTGAATCATTTTGTTTCTGTAAGAGGTATTGCTTAAACCCATTTTTATATCCAAAAGAGTGCAATAAATCCCAAATTTGCGTTTTTGAAACTCTATGAGTACAACAAACTTACCAACCAAAAACTTCCCATTAATTTCATCATCAAAAGATTAATGTTAAGGTTTGCAAATTAGCACAAAACAAGGAAGCAAAGCTCGAGAATTGAGCAAATAAAGCTCCTCAACATGTGTATACAACCCAACTTTACCGGCCAATGAATCAAAACCATTCAACAGCAACCCACTCATCTCCTCTAAATTCTCCACCGGCCTATGAACTCTCCCGGCGATTACACGACACACAATCAAAGCCTTCCGATCACCACCACCACCACCGTCTCCAATCACGATTGACTCGAACGCTCTCTCGCTCGTCGACGCCGTAAACACCCCAATCCCGTTGTTCATCTCCCGTTTCGCCGAGAACCCGTTCCTTATAATCCGGCAAACACAGCACTTCTCCGACGAACACAGACTCGTCGACCCGTTGATCCCTAAAGCACACGCGACGGTTGTGCCGTGGAATCTGAGCAGCTCGTTTCCGTCTGCAATACATCTCGGGTGTTTCTTTTGTAGCTTGCTCGCTCTGATCTTCACAGTGTCTCTGTATTCCTCGAATCTTGCTAAGGTTTTTTGCATATTGTGCACTTTCAAGATCCTATCGATTCGACCGCCTTGGTTCTCTGTCTTTAACCAGCTTGTTCTGCATATTATCTCCACTATCTTCCTCGACGAGTCTCCTTCCATGAGCTCAGTCACTGAAATTTGGGTAGTTATAAGTCACTATGTAGCCTAATTGTGAAATTTGAAGATGAAATTTACAAACTTTGCTAAAAAGTATGAAACTTTGAAAACAAAGTAAGAAAATTTGAAATTCGAAGATGAAATTTATTAAAAAGTAAGGAAATTTCAAAATTCAAATTCAAAGACGAAGTATGGGGAAATTTGAGTAGTTGCAATGTGATTGGTTATAGTTACCGGCGTGTTTGGTGAGATGGTGAGCTTCTGCAGCTTCGATTTTGGTAAACTTGTCGCCGCATTTATGGCAAGAAACAGAGGAATTGTCTCCATTAATGGCGGAATCTCTATCTCTCTCCCTTCTGCTATGGTGAAACCCTACTCCTTCCCTGTCTCTCTCAGACACAACTAAAGACGAAGCCTTTCTCGAAGCTTGGTTCCGGCGTGAAGAAGAGTAATTCACCGGCGTCCCCGGCCTCAGAGTCCCAACGAATTCCGTAGCTCCGGTGATCTTGAGCTCGCAGGTTGAGTTGCTAAAGATTACATCGTGAGCAATGGGATTGAGAAACTCGCTGCTTCCGATAGAACGAGGGCTAGAGCAAGGCGGCCTCTCCAAATGTTGTTTGCTTCCGTTGATTACGTCTTTGAGATTGGCTATGGATCTCGAACAACCGGAGCGACCACCGACGCCGCATGAGGAGGAGGATGTTGGTCTCTTAGTGGATATGGTAGCGAGCTCCTTCATGGATCTTGGGTTGTAGACATCGGAAGTATCGGATTTGCAGGGGAGAGACTTCCTCAGGGAAAACCAAACACTGGGCAGCTTCTTCTTCTTTTGAGTCTCGGTGTTTTCTTTCTCACTCTTCTTCTTCTTTGTCTTCTCGCTTCTTTTGCTTGAAGCTTCCATTTTTTTTCTATCCCTTCTCTGTTTTTTTTTGTGTCTTCTCAAGACAGTGAGAACGAAAGAAGGAACCAAAAAAAAAGCAAAATTGAATTTTTGAATTTGAGAACCTTCGTCGTCTGCCAATGATAGTAAAGGAGGAGAAACAGATAAGATAAATACAACTTATAAAAATAAAAATATAAAACTATGTTTGTTTTAGAGCCCAATAATATTTGTTTTCATCGTGGTTGTTGAATTCATATGTATCGGGTGTACATTGTTTGATGGTTGGTATAGTTAACTTATATATTGGACATCACAAACGGAAAGTACGAAACCAAAGAGGAGTAAAGGTCGGAATAAACGTGGTTAACGTAAAAAGGGTGGAACAAAATAGAGTGAAATCGGAGTAATGGTGATCTTATTTACCTCTAATAATAATTTTGTTGTTGGTGTTTGAATACGTCAAGACAACAACAAGAATCGTACTCATGTAACTTAGCTATCTATGGGACTATTTGACTCACGAGGCCACAGTGGGATTGGGTTTTGTCTACTGACTACAAACATACGCGTATGTACAATCTCACATTTCCCAAATCTAATGCTTCCAATATGTTTGCATAGTTTTGCGGATTGCATTGTATTTAAACTATTTAAAATAATCTTCACGTACTGTCCGACCAGAAGATACTTCCACCGTTCCCACGATATGTGTTTGTCCTTCGACTAGTCACGAAAAAGAAAAGAAAAAAGTATTGGAAGTATTGATTTGTCAATACCAACAAGTACAAAGAAATTAAAATTTAATGGTTTAGAGCCCAAGTACGTATTATTGAGATATTACATTGACATTTACTTCAATGCGGCCAAAACATTCTGTACAAAAATAATAATGCTTACCAGTAAAGCTTATACCAATGAATTGCATTTTATTTTCATATAAAAGTATCATTGTATTCTCCTTGAGTTGGCTACTCTGCCTCAAATTACCTTAAGTATTTTACACTAGTACTTTATATATCCATTTAAGTGTAAAGTACAAAGCGGAGGAAAATTGCCGGGTTTTTAATTTGTCCTAATATACCCACTGAATATGTATAAAGTAGTAGTCATTTACTCATATTCAAGAATATCTTTTAATATGACTCCAAGTAAGTTTACATCTACATTTGTTTTTTGTAGTTACAGAATCCCGTTGGGGGTTTATAGGTTAGTTTACAGGTTTATTTTTCTTATATGAAAATGGTGGTGAAAAGTATTGATTACATATAGTATTTGTATAAAGAAGATACTAGATATCAATTCCACATTAATCAGAAAAGTTGACTGTTTCCATAAATTTCTAATTACTTTTTTTTCTTTCTTTTTCGTAACACGAATAATGGGGTGTTCTTTTGGGGTCATGAAAACAATAATGATTATGTTGTAAATTTCAAGCATTAAAAAGGCATTTCCACATCCTATACACTAGAGAACAATCAAAGTGTGATCCACCCATCTTTTGTATGAAAGGTTGGTAACACATAACCATCCCACCACTTTCATGACACACACACACTTTCGATTGTCTCTCTGTATTTGGTTTTTACTCTCTTTGTTATCCGTATGATACCCACCAGAGAGATTACAAAAAAAAAGACATAGCTTGATTCTAAAATGTATTGACAATTGTTCAGTTTGAACCTTTGATATCTTACTATACTGAGATCGAACGGTCGCGATCGTGAAATGCATGTTGTACAATGAAATAAGAATTATTATTACAATAACATGTTTGGGCTTTTTTGGATTAAAAAGAAACATAACGTTGGGCCGAATGATGTTAAAATAGAAAGGAAGAGGGCTTTCAATGTAAAAAGCCCATATAAATAATCAATCCATGAGAGAGATTTAGAGTACGAAACTCATATCGTGTTCGTTAAACTTAAAAACAATCTAACGGTCAGGAGTAACGGATCCAGGTAGTGTCGTCCCATTGGTTAATGATCCTTTCATCGTCACTATATTAATACTCATGGCGGGTTTCACTGTGTAAACTCGTTACTGTTATTTCGTCAGAGGGGAAGTTTCTCAATTACGCTTTGTGAAGATCTTGAGCTGTAGAAATGGCGGGTCGGGGGAAAACATTAGGATCTAGTGCGGTGAAGAAGTCGACTTCTCGTAGTAGCAAAGCTGGCCTTCAATTCCCTGTGGGTCGTATCGCTCGGTTTTTGAAGGCCGGGAAGTACGCTGAACGTGTTGGTGCCGGAGCTCCGGTCTATCTCGCTGCTGTTCTTGAATACCTCGCCGCCGAGGTAATCATTTTCATCAATTGATCGCCTGTTTAAGTTAATTCCTTTTTGTTGAATTGGATGGTTTTTAACTTCTAGGGTTCTGGATTTGAGAATTTGGGTATATTTGAGATAGCATTATTATAAATTTTCCATTTATTTCTTCTTAAAGTTTCTTCATGTGCTGATTTTCCTGTCAGTTGATTGCAAATTCGAAAAAGTTATCAAATTTTGAACAATGGGTTATTAGGAACTGAACTTAGTGTGTGTAAATTTTTGTTTTTGTAGGTTCTTGAGCTCGCTGGGAACGCTGCAAGAGACAACAAGAAGACGCGTATAGTTCCACGACACATTCAACTTGCTGTGAGGAACGACGAGGAACTAAGCAAACTACTTGGAGATGTGACTATTGCCAATGGAGGAGTGATGCCTAACATCCATAATCTCCTTCTCCCCAAGAAGTCTGGTCCTTCTAAGCCCACTGAGGAAGATTAGTTTATAAAAGACATGGAATATCTGGAAATTGGTTAATATCAGTTAAAGCTCAGGACTGCTTTTGTTGTTCTCTAATTGTTTCTTTTGGTTACTCAGCAGCAATAGAAGCTGTGTGGTTTGTACTAGTTGCAAGGAAACCTTGTTTTCACTTTGTGTGAATATATGAAGAAAATTATTCTTAACAACTTTGACCCCATTGCTTAAGCTCTGTACAAATGCTGAATTTTATAGTGTATCAAGTGTCCTACTCATCTATATAACCGTTCCACGGAATAGAATGATCAATCCATGACAGATAAATCAAGTTACCATATTGTATTTTATGTTTTTGAGCGTATTATTTACACTTCTTTAACAGATGACTGAAGCTGGAGAAGATTCAGCCAACTATTATCCATTGTAAGTCCATGATTTAGTTGATTACATTCTAGCTACAAAAGCTTTAAGATCCCTCTCTGTAATCTGCTAACAAGAGATTCCGAGAGAGCTCTTTAGTTTATTTCCATCAGCTGGGAAGAAACAAGGTTGAAGGGTTTCTCTTGTAGTGTCATCATCCCAAGTTAAGTTGTTCCACCAGTGTGTTTCTCCTCTAATTTCTTTGACTCTATGAGCGTTATTTGATATAATGGGTAGATTCTTGAGAAGATTGCATCTTATCACCTCCACATGCTCTAAACTTACCCATGACTCTTCTTGGCTACATAATCTCTTCAGCCGCGGAAGATTCCTCAGTTTTATGACACGCAGGGCAGGTACCACAGGTTCAGTGGAGGCTGGAACTTCTCCTGGAGAATAGTCAAACAGCTCTTGAAGCCTATCACAGAAACTAACATGTATCTCTAGTAGGTTTGGCAAGAAACAGATGAAGTTCCCTAATGAGAGAAGGCATTTGAGCCGGCTACATCTGCTGACCTCTAAATGTTTCAGTGTCTGAAATCTCAACCCAAGATGACCCACAAGCTCTCTAATGGTTTCTAGGTTCACACGCCGTAGATGAAGTTCTTCAAGGTTAGGTAAAAGATCTAGCTGCGCAACACAGCCACCAGCAGGCCTTATACTTCCACCAAAACCTTCGACTGTTAAAGACCTCATAACGTTAAAGCTATTTGTGCTATCAATTACCAAATTCTCCAGCATCTCATTGAGACCCCAGCAATGGTTCATCACTAGGGAGGTTGTATTTGCTAGCAACCACCCAATGAATGCCTCTGAAACATTGAGACTACTTATTGTCACTCTCCTCTTGTCATGTCTACTAGGTAAGGAGTTTGCTGTTGGGCCAATGAACAACTGGAATTTCTTCAAACCTTCTATCCAAGAATTGTATTTTGGGGAAATAGGTGGAACACACACGACCCTGATGGAGAGAGCGGATAAACGATGGAGACACGCAATCTCTTCAAGTGTTGCTTGCCCTTCCTGAGTTTCTCCTTGGACCCCCCAGTGGAAATGACTAAGTGTCATGTCTAGAACCTCTAAACTTGATAACTGTGGGATGATCCCCGCTGGTATGCTTTCGAGGTGATGTGTTCGGGATAGATCAAGTAGTCTCAAGCTGTTCAAAGTTTCCAATCCTCTTGGCGAATCCTTAATACGAGTGGCACAGAGATCCAAAACTTGAATTTTGGTAAGGCCTTCAAGGGAAGGTACTTCTTCAAGGTAGTAGCAGTCTTTCAAGATGAGAGATCGAAGCTCATGAAGCTTGCTGATGGAGAGAGGTAATGACGTTATACGTGTCCCACTTAGATTCAGAGTCCGAAGTGCTGGCAAAGAGCGCAAGAATCCCACTGGTATATTCTCAAGATGAAAGTTTCCTTGCAGCAGTAAAGACGAGAGTTCAACACACTCTACCACCTGATCCGGGAGTGTTTTAAGCTTATTGTTCATCAAAGAAACTCTTCGGATAGAAGGAACAAACTTCTCTTGTGGAAACTCTCGCAAGCCTATACCAGACATGGCAAGAGAGTGAGTATCATCTTGCGAGGATGACATGATCCATATTGCAAAATCACGAATCACATCATGCATTTTAACTGTGTCATGACGTACACCCTCTTCTAGCAAGCAAGAGTCTTTCAGATTCTCTACCAAGGTAACTCCTTGATTCATTAAGTATCCATGGTTTTGTGTTTCATCTATAAACCCTTCGGCAGTCCAGTACCTTACAAGATCAGCTACTTCAATTGAGTAATCCTCTGGAAATAAGGCACAGAAGAGGAGGCAAGATTTCATTTTTGGCTCGAGCAAGTCGTAGCTCAATTTCAAAGGCTGGTAAATTTTTTCTTCAATACTCTTGACATAAGGCACCGAACTCTTGAGTTCCTTAAGGGCATGTTTCCACAGCTTGACCACCTTCTTCCCCCGCATAGCCATTCCAACTGTGATGATAGCCAAAGGCAATCCACCACATTCCCGGGAAACCTTTTTTGCGATGGGTCTAATACGATCTGATCTGGTAACTTCTCCAGCGTTTTGACAAAACAATTCCCAGGCTTCTTCCTCGCATAAGCAATCTACTCTGAAGTCAATATCCGTTTTTATGCTCTGGCAGACCTCTAAAAATCTAGAAGTCAACACAATCTTTGAGCTGTTGTGTCCATCTGTTTGTGGAATCCCCAACTGGTCTAAGTCAATGGGTTTCCAAACATCATCAAGAATGAGAAGAAATCTACTTACTTTCTCAAGCCTTCCATAAATCCGTTTCGCCAGTTTCTCCTCGTTTTCGCCCAATTTGATCTCTATATCCAACCTCTCAGCGATTTGCTTCTGGACCCTTCCCACTTCAAACTCTTTGGAAACTGTAGCCCATATCACCATACCAAAAGATTGTGTAGCAGCTTCTTTCCATAGCTTATTGTTCAGTTCTCTGACTAGTGTTGTTTTCCCGACTCCACCCATACCCCAAACACCAATCTTTTGAACTTTCTCGCTCCTTAAACAGCTTAGAATTTTGGCTAACATATCTGATGCTCTCGTTTGATCAGGAATCGAGGGTCCAAGAATTTTTTCAACTAGTTCAGATTTACCTTCCACAGAGAATATGTCAAGAAGCTCTACGCCTTGCTTTTCAAGTCTCTTGATTTTCTCAAGAATTACCACAAGTTTTTTGCTCAGCCCCCATTTCAAGAATGGAGCACATGAAACACGCTTTTCCAGCATTGAATTTGCTTCGGAGACAACTCCTTCCACATCTCTTAGCCATCTCCTCAGTTGCACATGCAAAGATTTCCCTTTGATTTCCAAGGTTTTGAGGTCTTTATCCACTTTGTTCTGAACTTCCATAAGGCCATTGAGTGCATTCTTCAAAACATTGATGTTCGACTTGAACCGGATGGCATAAAGGGCCCGAGAATAAGTTGTTCTGCACATACCACGCCCTATCTCAGCCAAGATAGTACCCAAGGCTGCGCCCAGACAATCCATAAGAGAGAGTTTGACAGTGAGATTATAAACACAGGGAAGGAATTCAATAATTCAATGAACGTCACAAACTAATGATCAGAATTATCATCAAGATAAAGCACTGGGAAACATTGACTTTTTATGTTCTCCACAAATTAATAACAACGTTTCTGATGTTGATAGTTTACTATTCGTTCGGTCAATGATGAGTTGGCTCTTGAAGTTTCGAAGAACTTGTCTTAAAGACTACTTTTTCAATTTCGGCTACTAGTAAGACTTCTGGTATGTTCGTTGAAACTTTCTACTTTGTCTTTTGAATTTAGTTTTCAGAACTCTGTTAGTTGACTAATAATGGTTTTGGCTAGGACATAGTTCAATCGTCTTCTTTCAAATGCCATCTTTGTGAGAAATCCCATGTAACACAAAAATTAGTAAATTTGATGGAGTTTTCAGCAAGGACGAATTATAGAAGAATCTTCCGTTTCATTCCCCTTTATGTCTGATAACTTCGCCGAGAGTTTTCAGCTCAGAAGCATGATAAGCACTATGCATTGTTCGGCGATTAAGCCAATCTTGGCTAGAATATCCGAGCAATACCAGAGAATAAGAGAATGAGAGAAGGTTGAAATGTTTGCTTATTTATGTTTAATACATTTATACACTTGACTGGAAGTATTTATCAAAATAAACTAAAGTATATCCAAACATCCAAAAATCTACTGAATCCACTATATATGCTAATCGTTGCCTCTTACTAATTTGGTCATATGCATACGTTTGATGAACTCTCATTATAAGAGGCTCATATGTTACTTAATTATGAACACTTGTCAGAAAAAAAAAATCACTACCATAAAACACTCTGCCATGATTAGCTTTCAGGGTAGAATAACATGCCTATAAGATCAAACAAGCAAATACAGTGACAAACTTGAGCTGATAAAAAACCATAGGGGAACTGAAAAGTGCTATCTCCACAGTGATCCAACTGCGAGCAAAACGTATTATATGACTCGCATCAATTTCAACTTGACACTCTCTAGTCTCTACTGCAGGACAAACCAAACAACACTCCATAACTAACTCAGTCTAGAAGTCCCTACGCCAAAAGGACTTCAAATATCAGCTCGTCCCTACAAAACAAAGAGAAAACACAAAAGGCAGGAAAAAAACTCAAAAGAGTTTTCAGAAAAGTGAAGTTTAAAAACGCTATAAAGCTTATATTTAAGTAAATGCCAATTTTTGAGTTTAGAAGAAATCTCAGTTTTGAGTAACAGAGTCCTCCCCACCACTACACCTAATGGGGACCTTTCTAAAACAACTTTTTGTATTTTGTTCCTTTAGATTTCACATGAAATTGTGACACAGACAGCGAGAGCGTCCGAGACAGACACGATACGATCATAAAGATAATTTTTTTGTGTTTAGACAAATTTAGCCCATACCATTGGGTGCATGACCATGAAGAGTCGGTATAATTTTGAACCTGTTGAAACTTGAAAGGTAATTTGCGTAAAATTCAAACATCCACTTTTTGAAAAGAACCTAAACTATCTATCGTCTGAAAATGCCAAGTTGCCGACGATCACTGTTTTACCGACACATTCTGGCTACTGCTGTTACGGAGTGTTATACCTACTTACCTGTTTTACGGACAATCCATTTATGTTTATGTATTAATCTTTGAAACTACCGGCATAAGTGTATAACTTATGAAGTATATGTACTATATACTATGATGACTAAGTACACTTCTTGATGTAGATACTAGATAACATAACTTTTAGACAAAAGAATATTAACTTTTCAACCACTACGTGGAATAAAATCTAGTTAGAGTTGAACCCAAAAAAAAAAACAAAAAATCTAGTCATCGTCGTCTACACAAGTTGTGTATGAGTAGAGTTAGGTGCAGTAAATATTCACATCTGAATTTCAAGATTTATTTGGTCGCAACTGAATTTCTAGATCATATGTAACTGTTAATTTTGTTTGATTTTTTAGATTTCGATTTAATTTAAAACTAGCAAATTTTCAAAATCTTTAAATAAATGCTATATAATACATAGGAATCCGAAGAAGAAAAAAAACATAAATATAATCGTTTGACTTTATCCGAGTTATCCGAAGAGATGGTTTTTCACAAATAAATGTAAATTATGTTCTTTCAAAAACATAAAAGAAAATTGTATTGACAACATACATATTTTGCTGACGAAAAAAGTCAATAAATAAAGCAACGGATGTGATCGCATTAGCTGAGCGTATTCAGATCTAATCAACGGCTCTACACTCATATCTCTCTCTGAACAAAACCAAACAACATAAAATAAGTACAAGTAGCTAGTAGCGAGCGACGGGAGAACAGAACGGAGACATATCTCCATTTCTACGCTAAACCCACCAGACAGATCATAATACAGTAAGGTCTTCTTCTTTTCTCACCAAAATTTCTAAAATCTCTATGAATGAAATTGTTGTTACTCCACTAGACTAGATTCTTTTCACACGAAAGTTTGAATCTTTATGTTTTACTGATAGTGTTTTGTTTTTATTTTTGTTGTTTAGCTCAAATCACTGCTCAATTGTTTTCTCTTTTGTAACAACTACAACTTTACTGTTTTCAAATTGACAACAAAAAAAACCATTCATATTCACGGGTTTCAATCCTTTTCAAGTTTATAAAAAAAATTAGTAATTAAAGATCTCTGAGAAGAAGAGATTTATCAAAAAAAATATAAAAAAATTCGTTTCTTTAGCAGGTTTTATGCTTTTAATTGGCGTGAAAGAGACAAATCCTGAGTGAAGAGTAGTAATTTAGGTACGAGAAGAATTGTTTTTTCAGCTCATCTCTCTCTCTTTCTCTCGGTGGATGGTTGGGGAAATGACGAACAATGGAAGAATCCGGCCATCCTTTCCGGTGAAAGATCTGACGAGTAATGAAGGATCTGAATATGGTCCTGTTGAGTTTACCAGAGAAGATGTTGAAGCTCTTCTTCATGAGCGAATCAAGTACAAGAGCAAGTATAATTACAAGGTCTCTCCTTTCTTTCTCTTTAATCTTTATGTTTGTCTGAAATCGAGATCTCTCACTTCATGCAATTTACAGTATAACAAAATGAAGTCTTTCTAATGGGTTTTGTAGTTTTAGTTTCCTGATTATTAGAGTTGCTAAATCTGAATTTGTTACTTTCGGATGCTGGGTTTTGCTTTGCTTTGCAGGAGAGATGTGAGAATACAATGGACTATGTAAAAAGGCTTAGGCTTTGCATTAGATGGTTTCAAGAACTCGAGTTAGATTACGCTTTTGAGCAGGAGAAGTTGAAGAATGCTATGGAGATGAACGAGAAGCATTGTGCCGATTTGGGTGAGTTTGCTACAAATTTGGATCCCACCTGTGGGGATATAATATAGTTGATTCTTCGTATGAACATTTGGGATTTTTTATAACTTATGCTGTATGCATTTGTTTGCAGAGCTTAATTTGAAAGTAAAGGAAGAGGAGCTGAATCTGGTAATCGACGAACTGAGGAAGAACTTTGCCTCTGTTCAGGTGCAACTTGCCAAAGAACAAACAGAGAAATTGGTATGAAAATTGCTGGTTCCAATTAAAAGTAAGTTGTGCCTTGTTCATTTTCTGTGGTTTTCTAAACTCTGGTATTGTTTTGCATAAGGCTGCAAATGAATCTCTTGGAAAAGAGAGAGAGGCAAGACTTTCTGTTGAAAGTTTGCAAGCTGCCCTCACAGAAGAGTTAGCAAAAACGCAAGGAGACCTTCAAACAGCTAACCAAAGGGTGAGAAAGCCAGAAAGATCTGAACGGGAAATGATTAGTTGATTGACATTGATTGTTTTTTTTTTGGATTTTTATTTTGTTTCAGATTCTTGCTGTCAATGACATGTACAAACTCTTGCAAGAGTATAATTCGAGCTTGCAGCTGTACAATAGCAAACTCCAAGGTGATATTGATGAAGCTCATGAAAATATAAAGCGAGGAGAGAAAGAACGGACTGGCATTGTAGAAAGTATTGGTAATTTAAAGGGTCAGTTTAAAGCACTGCAGGATCAACTTGCTGCCTCTAAGGTGATTTGATTCTTCACTTATTCGATCAATGAGAGTAGACTTTTGTTTAGATCAGGGTATGACCTGTATCTTGTTTTTTTTAGGTGTCTCAAGATGATGTCATGAAACAAAAAGATGAATTGGTGAATGAAATTGTAAGTCTCAAGGTTGAGATTCAACAGGTCAAAGATGACCGTGACCGCCATATAACAGAAATTGAAAATCTGCAAGCTGAAGCAACCAAGCAAAATGACTTCAAAGACACCATAAATGAGCTTGAGGTTTATTTTCATTCTTGATGCACTCCTATATTTCCTTTTTAAAAACCTATATGGAGATTGTTGTTTCTTAATATGGTGTAATCTTTTTGTCCAGAGTAAGTGTTCAGTTCAAAATAAGGAAATAGAAGTGTTGCAGGATCAGTTAGTAGCTTCCGAGAGGAAACTACAGGTATCATCGCATTCTTGAGTTGTTACATATAGAAATTAAAATGTATATTGGAAATCTCTAAATATTCTTGTTGCATATATGTTTATTATGATTAGGTGGCTGACTTGTCTACTTTTGAGAAAATGAACGAGTTTGAAGAGCAAAAAGAAAGCATTATGGAGCTTAAAGGTCGATTAGAAGAAGCAGAACTTAAACTCATCGAAGGAGAAAAACTACGAAAGAAGTTGCACAATACCATACAGGTTACAACTTGTCATCTGGTGTCCATTTCCCTTGTGAAATGTTGAGCAAGCTTGGCTGATCCTGAAACATGAAATGTTGCAGGAATTGAAGGGAAACATCCGCGTATTCTGCAGGGTTAGACCTCTATTATTGGGAGAGAATTCTAGTGAGGAGGCCAAAACTATATCCTACCCTACATCTCTAGAATCTCTTGGTCGGGGCATTGACTTGATGCAAAATGGTTTGAACAATTCTTCTGAAAATAATTCGTTCTTTGTGTAAAAAAGAAAGAGACTCATTTGTTGTTTACCTTGGCCAGGGCAAACGCATTGTTTCACATTTGATAAGGTTTTTGTACCAAGCGCATCACAAGAAGATGTTTTTGTAGAGATTTCTCAACTTGTTCAGAGTGCTCTTGATGGTTACAAGGTACTTACTTGCTTGAACTTAGTATAATTCCCTGTCTGCTTATTTCTTCTATTAATCGAATTCTCAAATTTTACACTATTTTGCTAAAACTGTCTAACTGGTCGTGGAAGCAAATGAATGATAATGAATCAGACGATAAAGGTGCTCTTATACATTTTTCAGGTTTGCATTTTCGCATATGGGCAGACTGGATCTGGAAAAACTTATACAATGATGGGTAGACCAGGAAACCCGGAGGAAAAAGGACTGATTCCTCGATGCTTGGAGCAAATATTTCAGACGAGGCAGTCTCTTCGATCACAGGGTTGGAAGTATGAATTGCAGGTAACAAACCTCCTAAAGACTTATAAATGGATGATGTAACGTTCATAGTATAGTATTATTGATTGGTTTATATATTACAGGTGTCTATGTTGGAAATATACAACGAAACAATTCGGGATCTCTTGTCAACAAACAAGGAAGCTGTGAAAGCAGACAGTGGCGTTTCTCCTCAGAAATATGCAATCAAACATGATGCTAGTGGGAACACACATGTCGTGGAACTTACTGTTGTAGATGTTCGAAGCTCAAAGCAGGTTTCTTTCCTCTTAGACCATGCAGCTCGAAACAGGCAAGTAACTGTTTAAAAGAATGGCAAGGATTCCTCTGTTAGAGAAACCAAAAGCTGCTGATGAATCAAACTGTGTCTTGAATTTTATTTCAGGTCAGTAGGGAAGACCGCGATGAACGAGCAATCATCGAGAAGCCATTTCGTTTTCACATTAAAGATCTCTGGATTCAATGAGGTACTAATCAGGTTTCGTACCTCAACTGCAACATTTGATAGTCTGATGTTTGTTTCATTTAGACCAATCCGAGGTTTTCTTTTATTGTTCTGTTTTTTACAGAGCACAGAGCAACAAGTACAAGGTGTCTTGAACCTGATTGATCTTGCGGGTAGTGAGCGTTTATCAAAGAGTGGATCAACCGGTGATAGACTGAAAGAAACTCAAGTAATGTCTGCGAAATTAGATAAACACAATATTTAGGGACACAAAAAAGATTTATTAGGCTTAATGTTTCTTTTCTTCTTACTGAAAGGCAATCAACAAAAGCTTATCATCTCTAGGGGATGTCATATTCGCCTTAGCGAAGAAAGAAGATCACGTACCTTTCAGGAACTCAAAGCTCACTTATCTTCTTCAGGTAAGTATTTTAAATTATCATCTGAACAAAACCTAAAAGTTTACGTGTTGTGATCAAACTTTGTGGAATTCTATGATCAGCCCTGTTTAGGTGGCGACTCGAAGACACTAATGTTTGTGAACATCACACCTGAACCTTCATCAACCGGTGAGTCTTTGTGCTCCCTCAGATTTGCAGCAAGAGTGAATGCTTGTGAGATAGGCACCGCACACCGTCATGTTAACGCCAGGCCGTTGGATTATCGCTTGAGCCTTGGATGAGAATTTCTCCTGGGAAGCCAAACAAAGAAAGTTATGTTTATACCCAAATGTGGTCAGTACTTGATGTGGGTGCTAGATCTGTATATAGCTTGTATTAGCCTTAAGGGTCTGTTATCTTTAACTCTTGTCTTGGATCAGGAGGGTTTGTGTGTTGAAAAATTCATTATGTTCTGAGTTCTCGATTAGACAACTTAGATAAGTTACAAACTAAACTAGTGTTCACTCTAAAATTTCTAAATTTTCGGTATAATAATAATGTATATATAGAAAGAAGTTCGATTTAGGCAATCGGCCAACTAAGACCATCCTCAGAATCAAATATTCATGAGTTTGGAAAGGAGGCATGAGTATATTCGTTAATAGTATCATTTCATCGATCGATACCGGTACAACAACATGCATCGATCAACAAATATCATCACAAATAGAAAGACAAATATATATATATTATGAGAACAAATCTAAAACTGAACTCTAAAGCATATATTCTGAGCTTACCACCATTTCAATGGCTTTTCAAAATATTTGAGCTCTACACTATTTATTTAGATGTACGAATTGTTTTTTTTTTTAATCTTATTTGTGATGAACAGCAAGTTAGCAGGATTAACGAATGAAAAAAAAAAAAAACAAACTTCTCATTTATTAAGGAGTAGTGCTAATTACATTAGCGGCCTCAGAACATCCTAAACTTACATTTTGTCCATAAAACACACGATAATTAAATGTGTAGTGTTAACATACATCAACAGCCACACTCATGATCATCGTGCTATATACACTCGATCGAGGTTGTGTATGGGATTTAGTAGTAAGGAGGGAAGAAAGGGATGGTCTGGAAGGGGCAAACATCAACTTGGGGGATGTTGCAAATGTTAGGCAAGTGCTTAGCTGTCTGGTAAATTTTCCTAGCTTGGAACGGTCCGTGCTGTCCCTGGAGTCTAACCGACTTGGCCGCTTGTTTCAAGGTGGGGCAAACGCAAACTGGTTCTTCCTCCTGAAGCTCGTTGCAGCACTGCTGGAGTAGATAGGGTCTTTGCGGGTTCTCGATGTCGAACTCATCGTCGTCAAGGGCGGGAACACCACCACGGCCTTGCCTCATTTGCTGGCGCATAAATTGCTGGCAAGCTCTTAGGTGCTGTGAAGCCTGAAACTCCTTCTGGCATCTCTGTCTTGGACCCATGGGGTTGGTGGCCTCATCTCCATCAAACTCGACGACGGTTCGGTAGATGGAAGCGTTGGTGAGGAGGAAGCAGAGGGCGAGAGTTGCACCGATGAGGAAGAGCTTGTTCGCCATTTGTTGCTATTTGTGTATGTTTTCTTGTTTGAGTGAAGTGAAGTGAAGAGTTTATGGGTATTTATGGACAAGAAAGCAGTTTTGCATGGCGATCACGTGTAGCATTACATGCATGAACAACTAAAACACAGGCATGTGATTGTGTACATGTTGTGTGAGAGAGGAAAGCGATATACAAATAAGGTTGTTGTCGGGATTAGGTGTTGGAAACTCTCAATTATTTTTGTTACCAACATTTTTAAATATATTTTTGTTATTATATATACTTCTCCTTTAATATATTGTCAGTTTTAATACTAGTTATTTTAATCTTTACAGTATATCTTTGTCAATAATTTTGACAGGAAAAAAAATAACATCAATAGTGATAACCGCATATATCATTCCATATTCCTTTTCTTGTTGCCACCACTATCTTATATAATAAGACAAGGTTTCTTCCTAACTTTGCCTTACAATGCGACATGTGTCACTCTATGCTTCTGACATGTGTCATATTAATTTCTAATATATATTTCAAAATTATATTTTTTTTATGATATTGTGTTGTAAGTTATATGTTATATGTATAGTTTGCTTTTTAAAAAGTGTCATTGTTGCAAAACTATGTTTTTCCTAATTTTAGTTTCTAATTAAATTAAATATCATTATAAGCTAAACATAAAATGGAGTTGTTATAATTTTTATTAAAAGAAAATTGCTATGACTTTTTTAACTACTCCTTTAAAGATACCTTTTAAAAGTTATTAATATGGGTGCTAAATTATTTATAACATTATTTCTAATTTTAAAAAGTTAATTTATAAGAGAAGAATTAAAGAGATTTTTTTAGTATGGTCAAATCTAAGATAAATACTGAAATTAGAGAAAGCTTGATTGTTTTTCAGTATAATAGATCAGTAGATCTTATATAAAATTTGGATAAAAATTATTTATAAGATAATTGTTTCTATGTAACTATTTAACCAACAAATTTTATTTAATTTTCTATTATCAAACAGAAAACAACAGGCAGATAGAGCATGCACCAAG